TATATGACGGCTATTATCTAATATTACGAAATTTATACTCGTTCTCTTTGAACTTATTCCGATTATAAAATTAGATATATCATAGTATCTACATATTATTTATTTATAAATGCGTCTATATTTAAGCCATTGTGTTGAAAAAAAACCATTTAAACTACGGTATAAGCTGCATTTATTCTCCGAAACACACAACCTTGATATTTGTGTGCGTCTCCGCGTGCATTCCAAAAATAGCGCATAGTAGTAATGCTTTAAAGTGAACTGCCTGATGTCTTGGGTTCCCCTGCCCAGTCAGTCTATCGATTCTTATCCGTGGCGTATACACGCTCCGCTCTAAAAATCGAAAAAAGTTTGCGTTTAAAATATCGCAGGCTGTAATAAAACCTTTCGCAAACCATTTATGTGAATATTACGAATCTCGCGGAAAAAGTTGCCGATGCTGTAGTGCCTCGTAATAACATTTCGCACGTGACGCAAACCATGTCTTCGTACAGAAAGGGAGCACAGACTAAGCCAACAACAGCTGCAGGCTTACGAGCTCAAGCGTCAACAAATGGGCAATCAATTTTTGGAAACAGGTCACGGATCGGTGGTTTGCTCTCATTAAATCCAAATAATTTAACATTTAACGCGGGATTATTGGGCGTAAAATCTCCAAATCTATATTCCGGATCTAATTTTTTGAATAAGAATAAAAAGAGTAGCGACTTATTTCGAACAACTCCTTTCACGAAGTCTACGAACAGTCCGAATTATCAGAATCTTTTCACGACATATGGTGGAACGTCAACGGGATATGGTGGTGTGACTTTACCTTCTCACACAGCTGTCAGTCCTTTGAATCTGAGTCCATCTCCCAGTTATAATTATTTAAATCTAAACGTAAACACTCGGCCACATATGCAAAAAACCGAAAGTTTTAAGAGATCAAAGATAAAACCGAGTCTTAATATCAGTTCGAGAAGTTCCAGTCTACAAAGTTTAACTAGTTCTGAGGGATATGCTGTAAGCAATTTCCTTGATTTTCGCATTTTAAATCTGTTATAAATCTCTTATAAAACTTCCAGGATTTTAGAATATTTTCAAATAATAGTTTTTATTAAACTATTATTTTCTTTTTATTTAAATATATTTTATATACGTAAATAAATTATATAAACATGGATTTAATAATATAACATTCAGTAATATTATCGAATATTATATTATTAAATTCATATTACTCAATTTTTATTAATATTACAGATTATAATTTTTTTAGAATGATAAAAATTTTAAATGATACATTGTAATAAAAATTTACGTTTAATATTTTTTTTCTTTTAGAGCGGAAACGATCGTTCTGGGAGAGCCACTAGATTAGGTTCGATATCTTCGCTATCATCAGAAGCCTCATCAACACCAATCAGATTAAAATCCAATAGTTCCGAAAACGGTGAATTAGATTATAAAAAATTATACGAGGAATCTCAAGTCGAGAATGAAAGGTTAAAGGATAAACTGAAGCGCTCCGACGAACAATTAAAGGAAGTTAGGCATTTATTGGAAAAAATGCAAATCAACCAAAATAAAGTAATTCTCTCTGAGGCAGAGAAAAGGGAAAGGCGAGCCATGGAGAGGAAACTTTCAGAGATGGAAGAAGAATTGAAGGTAAGTTCGCAGAGATTTGATACACTTCCTACATTATGAATCTGTTATGTATGTGAAAGCGAATAGAAGAAATGCTTTCATACATTGAATTGAATGATGAGAAGACACAATTGTCTGTGATTTTGTGTACGAATATACGTATCAGTATATATACAATTTTAGATTTTTTAGTTAGTTACACACCGTCATCTCTTTTTTTCTTGTGTTGCTGTGACTGCTAGCGGCAAGCAAAAACAGCAATGAGTATTTTTGTACGAAGTACCCGATCGCTTCGGTTATATGCTTTTCCTTACCTGGCAATTTTACGCAAATTGGCGCTTTACTCTCTTTCTTATTCTCTATTTCCAATTGATACTCATTTTCTCTTTTTTTCGCGAGATACAATAATTTTCAGTAATCCATTTTGTATTTTCACTGAGTTCCGCTTCTCAGAACTTCCAGCATAGTTTTAGCAGGGAATTTAGCGGGGAACACGGTTTATTCATCTGTTAATGGAACGCGAATTAGTTATTTGTTTTTGGCTATTTTGGGACTCGCAAAAACAATGGCGGGGATTTTAGGCTAATTATTTAACTGTTTACAGCAATTGCAAAAACTCAAAGCTGAAAATGAGAGATTGAAAGCCGAAAATCGGGCACTTACCCGCGTCGTATCCAAACTCACCAATACTAAATAGGTAAAGGACACAATGACAGCATCTGCGTTTACGATAGACTTCGTATCTTACGTACAACATTAATTAATTAATTACTCTTTTAATCGAATGATTAATTATAATTTTGTGTTCCGATCGCCAATATTAAAACAGAAATGATACCACTCATCATACTTATCGTACAAATCAGCTTTGCAAAATACATTCCAATATATAACGCGTACCATTAATCAATTTTTAATTAAAGGTATCAATTTATTTTTATAAAAGAGAGACTTCAGGCTTTCTATAATACATATGTCTTATTCTAAGTATTGCAATCAATATTGTACATTTATGTATCTTCTTGTGTGATACTTCTTGTGTGAACACTTTTATTTCTGCAATGTATTATCAAGGCAATTATTTTACGCATATAATTACGTATATAACATATTTTATATATGTATAAAATTATTCAAGATGTTCCAAATTCCAAACGTGACAATTATAATAAATTATCCCGGCTAATTGTGTGATGCATGTTATAAATAAATTATTTAATAATACATTTACTAAAAACGAAAAACAAATTTTTAACAAGAGAAAGAACGCAGTCTGTCATTTATAAGATACATATAGGAATGAATATAGCTACCACAATTTTAATTTTAGGAAACTTTCCTCCTTATAAAACCATCATCCAACATGCAGAATAACATCAGTAAATTGAATGCCATCATCAAGCATCGATCATTTTAGCACGTGTTTCACATAAAAACAAAGCCATGACTCTGCAGTTAATTATTCTTTTCAGTTTATTTATCTTAATCATAACTGTGTGAAAGTTATTCAATTCCCAAAATATATATATATATTCGACTGTTAAAATATCAACACATATTACACTGTATTAACTTAGATTTTCACCTCTGTCTCTCTCTCTCTTTCTCTCTAAGGAAGCATGTTAAATGTTAAATTGTTGCACTTTATTGCACTTTATAGACTTTAAAAAATAGTCCAATCCATAAAATTGACATTAATCCCTCTTTAACTTTACGTATAATATTGCATACTCATCATTATTCCGTGGTATGCATTAGAAAGCTTTCGTATCAACGATATTATTTTGTAGTATTCAAAAAGTGCTCAACAAAAAATATGACAAATGATAGTTGCAATTGTAACATAAAATTATTTCTTGCATATGAAATACCCCTACAACTTGAAGTCAAATATATCAATATCAATATTGTATCAATAAGATAAGAATAATTGTGCGTCATCTAAATTGTCTTAATTATTCGCTAATTAAGTCTCACTTTTAGATTGCGTATAAGTTTGAGGATAAATTTGCGAACATTTTTGTAGAATATTTGTATGTATGAAAATTTTATTCAAGAGTCGGATTTGTATCTAAACAATTTGAGCTATTTATCAATATCAATGCAATATTAATTAAATATAAATAATTATGAAGGAATACTTGTGTACAAATGCAATGATTAACTTGAAAGAAATAAAGTTTATGATTCTGGTATTATATATAATACGATGATCATAAATTGATGAAACGCTTTTGCTATTCGCGATCATTTTTCAGTTCTCTTATCTGTATCAATATCTGAACATTTATTAATTTTTTGCTAGTATATACATTACCCGAATACTTTAATGACTTTTGGTTGCAGTAATATTTGTGAGTGCCTCTTTCCATTTATCCTCCTGTTGTTTTGTGAGCACTGAAATTATTCCGTCTATAACGGCATTATTTCTTTGTATTTTCCTCTACTGTGTTCTTAATTAATGCTTAAGAATTAGTGTGATATTTTTTTTTCTAGGTGATGGACCAACTAAAATGCGAAAATCAGAGGCTAAAAGATGAAAATGGTGCCTTGATCAGAGTAATCAGCAAATTATCCAAATAAAAAAATCTTGTAGTCTCAACTACACATCGTAATGAAATTTTAAGTTGTATTACAACTATGTTGAATGAATTGCTTTAATTATAGCAGCATCATCATTATCGCTAGTATTCTTACAAATCTTGCGTCATGCTATCGATGAATTTATCTTTATAGTTATTTAACTTATTCCAATTATGAGATCAATTAATCGCATGGCTGTGCCAAAGGCGAAAAGAAATGTTACTCCTATTCTTAGATTGTGAATACTTGATTGTAAAAGACTTAGAGGAATTTTACTTTGTGGAATTACTTTTTATAATGTCAGAAAGATAAATTTTATAATCCACTATATAAAATCAATTTAATGCTTTATAGTAAAAAAAAGTCAGGTTTATTTTATTTGACTATTAGAAAAGAAAGAAAAGAACTGTTAATCTTTACGGACAGTTTTCTTTTTTAACAAATCGCGTTATCAATGTTGATTCTTTATAAGAACATTTTGTAAATACAAACAAATAGACAATGGTGATGTGGCATTTTAGTAATTTGAAAAAAAGAATTTTTACTCGCGAAGTAAGTTTTTGTGAAACACTCTGACTACATACAAACAAATCCATAATATATCGAAACTGTTTACATTCGAAGCAATAAACGATATATCTGTTACTCCTGATTAAATTACGGTGATAAAGGAGTCAAAGAACATGACCTTGCTACTCAAGTGGCCTTTTTCTGAAGACTGCAATTTGTAAATCCTTCCATCATTGCCATTTTTGCAGTATAAGCAGAAATTTGATGCATATACGGGAGTAAATGTTTTTAATTACTCTGTAATATAATACATTTTCTTATATAATATCACAGATATGTAAAATATACTTTAGACACATCGGGATTTTTAACTCCTTAAAGTGCTAAAATTACTGTATGTTAGAGCTGTGGTAACTTCAGTTCAAACTGTTGATGTAGAAAATCTGTGTTATTATTTTTAACTACTTGTCCAATATAAAATGCTGTTACCTATTATTTTCTTATAGCAACACCAATAATGATTGTCCAATATGTTCTGGATAAAGACGAATTTATAAATATTGAATAATGGAATGTGTAATTGACAGTTGGCATGTTTTTTAATGATATTATTGTAAACAATTGTAAAAAAATGATGACTCAATGTAGTTATTTCGTAATGAAGTTTATTAGAAAATATTTGTGTAAATATTTAATACAAACTTATATGTGTGTGTGGACCTATTTTTATTATTTTATAAACTTAAGTCTATGGGGGAATTCTTTTATATATCTGTAATAATATATTCTTTAAAATATTTATATTGATAAAAATCCTTATATAATATAATTAATTAATTATCAGAGTCTTATACAATGAAAGGTAAGTAATCAATATAAAACTGCTTATAAAAAAATCGAATTATTTTTATTTACAATATATCATCTCACAATACTAACTCATTAATAGATTTATAGTAATTCCTTCCCTCTCCATTTTATCATACTTATACTATTTTAGTAATCGTTCCATAATTTTTGCAACAACAGCCATATCTGCACGTTGTTCCGTAACTTTTGCCATTTCTCCCATTAACACTTTAAACAATTTTTTCTTGCCACTTTTATATGCTGATACAAGTTTTGGATTTTTTTCTATAATTTCTAAACATATTTGTTCTAATTGTTTCTCATCTGATATCAGAAACCAATTGTGCTCTTTAACAATCTATGTGTAATAAATAAAGTTAATTATATGAATGTAAGTTAAAAAAATATTTAAGCTTTAAATACCACATATTTTTTGAAAAAATGAGATTTTTACCTCCTTTGGTAGTTTATCTGAATCAATTACTAATTCCTTCAAAATCTTTTTTGCCGTTATTAAATTAATTAAATTGTCTTGTAATAAATCAATCAATTGACCAATAAAATCTTCATGTGGTACACTGAAAATTTATGAAGTACGTATTTTTTATTCTGAAACATTATCTTAGTTAAAAAGAAGAGGCTTACCAAAATTCAATCGTTAGTTTATTTTTATAAAGAAAAGTCAACAGCTCCATAACGAGAAATTTAGCGACCAGTTTCGGTTTACGATTCTCATTATTTCTTGTTATTCTGTTAAATAATTGTAATAATGCAAAGTCACTCTAAAAAAAATATAAAATATTTTTTTAAATGTTTATATTTTTTTTGTTTCATTATAGAGCATACACAAGATTTACCATTAAAGCTATAATTATTTCAGGAGATATCTTAAGATCATTCTTTAGTCTCTGACGTATTTGTTCCGGCAACTCGGGTAGCTGTCTTTTTAGTGTTACAGCATCAACTAAATTGTTTTTATTTGGTAAATCTTCTCTAAGATGTATGCGTAAAGGTGGTAAATTTGTTTCAGGCATAAATCGGTAATCCTGAAAGTATTTAAGGTGAATTCAATAATTCATAATGTAAGAGTAGCAATGCAAAATCGAAATGCTGTTACTTCTTTGTCTTCTTTTTCACGCATAGGAACAGTTTTCTTGTTCACTGCATCCCAAGCACGAGTCTCATTGAACATCTTATCACCGATCTCAAGGATAGAAATATGCCTATTTATTTCATATTGAATGGCCGCAGCGACAGCACGCACGCTTCCAATATTTTTTATTTCCGTTCGAATGCCTAAACTATCTCGATTGGTTACAGAAACGTTGGCGTCCACGCGAAGTGCTCCTTCTACAATTTATAAAGATAATAAAAAACCGATATAACACACACACACACACACACACACAGAGAGAGAGAGAGAGAGAGTTGTATAAAAATATAATAAAATTGAAAATAATTTTTCGCAAACAACCTTCCATTTTGTTGCTACAGACACCCAGTAATTGCAACGTAAATCCAAGCTCCTTTACAAGCGCAGCCGCTTCCTCACCATCGACCAAGTCTGGTTCAAACACGAATTCCATCAAAGGTATTCCAGCTCGATTAAGGTCAATCAAACTTCTAAGATACAGAAATATCAAGTAAAAAATTTAATTGAAATACTCCCAATTTTTATTAATTTTCGAACAGAACCAAATAGCAATCAACTCAATACCTTGCTACATTTTCGTCATGCAAACTTTTGCCACTGTCCTGCTCCAATTGAATCTGCTTAATTTTAGAAGATTTCAAATATGGAGATTTGTGCAGTCCTGGAGTGAAAACATGAAACTTAATTTCACCATTAACAGCAATAGGTTGTCCTTGTTGAGTAATTTGAAATCCTGCCTAAATAATTTGCAACTAATAAAAACAATAACGATAAGTATCTATTTTATGATAGATACTTATCACTCACAGGCAAGTCTGCGTAGAAGTAATGTTTCCTTTCAAACAAAGAAGTCTCATTCAATTGGCAGGATAGCGCTAAAGCAGTCATCACTGTTGATTCTACGCATTTCCTGTTCAATACCTACAATATATACATATCTACGACAATAATTAATATTTATTGTAATAGTTTGCAAAGTTAATTATTTTTATTTATTCAAGAAAGAGTATTTCTGCTAAACATAAATTAATAATAATATTGCATCAATATTATCATTTCCCATATAGTGATATACATATAACACATGTTGTATGTAACACTTACATTGTTGAATAAGAAATTATAATATTGATTTTATATTACTGTTAGTTTATGTTCAGCAGGTGTCTTTTCATTATAACCGATTATTAATAACTCACAGGTAATGTTCCTGGTGTGGCACAGTCGAAGAATGAAACGCACGAGTTAACCGGGCTGGCAAAATTGGTAGATGCACTGGAAAACAATTTTGATTCCGTGGCAATCTGAGCATGGATCTCCAAACCCACAATAGACTTCCATCTCTCTCTAATTATCAAAAAGAATACAATTAATGACTTAATTATGACTCTCTGAAACACGAATATTTAATGAATATTTAATGAAAATATACTACTATATGTCTTGAAAGCGACAAATATTGTTTATATTCACAAACATAATTATAGCCTAACCTAATTACTCACCGTACTTTTATATCTTTTTGATTCTTGATTGAGAGAAAACGCAAAACATTGTTGTTTCGCTTTCGAATCCATTTATGCGCAAAGGTAAGACATTGTTGACCTGATAACATTTTTCATTGATTTTCTAGCATAAAAATTCAGAAGAGAAGCCACGCGTTCTTCATAGGAAAAATAGTAATTCAGAATTGCCAATTGCTACAAGTATGCAGCGCAGGGAATTTTGTACGTCACTATTGCAAATTGCATGGATCCGCTCATTGAACCGCCATTTTGAATATATCTTATTTAAAATATTTTTAAAATATTTTTAAAAAATTTATTAATATCCATAATTTTGTAAGAATTGATAATTTTGATATTTTTGTGCTGTCATTGATATTATATTAATAATCTTTTAAAAATATTAATTTTGAAGTTTATATGTGTATAATTATTTCTTTAATACACGATTGGAAACTGGGACAATCCAGCCATTTATCTTATCAATCAATTTGCTGAGGCAATGTGATTCAGTTTTCTTATGTAAGAGAAATAAAGTCACATACGACGATACTTTAAACAACTTACATTTATTTGTGAATGTAGAAAATCTGTTTGCGTACAAAATGTATTGTGCAATGCGAGTTATACATAATTTTTAACAATTAGAATAGAAACAATCATTCTATTACTTATTGATTGTTGCTTTAACACTTTATGACCTTACAAAACGCTTTTCGTTGATATCGTTGCCGAATCGTTTTCCCTGTTAATCCTGTCATTAGAATACTGTTAAACAGTTATCATGACAGATTATTATTAGTGCCACTCATTCATTTAGAAAAACCAACAAGGCTGTCAAAAACCATGCAGTTCCAAAGAGATCGTTTTGTAAGAAATAAAGGAATAAAGAATAATGAGGCTGTTGGCGAATGCTGAAATTTACTCAGTGGCGTCATCCTTAGATACACTAAATGGTTCTGTCACAGTCTCCGCGCCGCTGTCGGCGATGACTATGTCCTTGCGTGGCTTATCTCGTGAGTCAGTGCTCGTTTGCTCAATCTTGCGCACTATATCCTGCAACAGAATATTGAAATTATAAATCTGCTTTTTTGAACATTTTTTGTTTCCTTTATTTTTTTTATCTCCAAAGTGAAAGAGGAAAAATAAAAAAAATTAATGAAAAGAACAAGCCTTGTGTACTTAATTAATGGAGTAAAGTAAAAAAGTATATTCTCAGTAAATTATCATAATAATAACAAGTAAATAGTGTTCTTACCATTCCTTTGATAATCTTGCCAAAGACGACATGTCTACCATCGAGCCAAGGTGTTTGTTTAACTGTGATAAAGAATTGAGACCCGTTGGTATCTTTGCCAGCATTGGCCATGGAAAGCCATCCAGCGCCGTAATGCTTCAATTTGAAGTTTTCATCCGCAAAGCGATCTCCATAGATGCTGCGACCTAGATTATAGATCAGCAATCAAATGCATCTATGCTAAACAAGACCAGTCCAAAACTCAGCTAGCGACTAAGTGCTTTCCATTTATGTCTGTTTCTACCAATGTAAATCAACTTTAATTTCGACCCAGCTTACTTTTTTTTTCTAATTTTTATTAGAAAAAGTAGAAAAAGTTGAACCGAGATTAAAACTACATTGGTAGGAATAACAATACAAATCAACACAAGCATTGCATTCTATCTTTTTTAACATTCAGTAACAAAAATAAAACGTTACCTGTGCATACACTTGTATCATCAAATAAAAAGTATTTGCTATTACCTCACCCTGTCCCATTGAACGAGACAAGAAGAAAACAAAAAGAATAGATATTAGAACAGCTAGTTACTGGACAGAGTTCTAGTGTTTATTCTTTTTGTTTATTCTATCTTGCTTAACAAGACAATGAAGAGGTGTTAGCTCGGGAGCTAATTTTTAGACAATACATCTGACCTAAACAATTAAAAGTAAAGACCTCCAGTGCCATCTCCTTTTGTGAAGTCACCTCCTTGGATCATAAAGTCTTTGATCACTCTGTGGAATTTGCTGCCCTTGTATCCTTCACCTTCTGGCAATTTGGCAAGCTCGACGAAATTCTTGACTGTCTTCGGAACGGTTTTACCGAACAGACCGATCTCTACTCTACCCGCAGCCTCATCGCCGATCTTGATTTCGAACCATACCTAAAAATTTGATAAATTATTCATTAATTAATATTAAGTAAATGATTCTTTGTGAGAGAATTCGGCGAATATACACTGCCGGACAAAGGCATTGTTCGTTCGTAAGTGACGCACGGATTTTTCCATACATGCAATAAAAATATCTCGCGCCGGCGAAATGCCACGTATTCACAATTTATATTTTGCAAATGGTATCTAGATACTTCATACCTTATCAGTGACTTTCGGCCCATTGCTCGCACAGGAGACAACGGCTATCAAGCAGCCTACGAGCAGCAACAACCTCATGATGCTATGAACGATGAAAGTACCACACTGTCTGATCCTGCAGTGGTCTGTCAGAGACCACTACCGGATGCGATGATGCCTCGAGTACGCGTGTGCACGTTTAGAAATGTGGGAGCGTCCAATTGGCTCGTTTCCCCGGCGGTAACGTAACGAGCGAGTCATCATAAGGGCCCGCGAATATGAGAATAAATGAATAAAACGTATTTAGTTAGCTTAATTTGGTTGATAGTCAAATATAACTGCAAATCGAAACTGGAACTTTAGAACGAACTTTAGAACATGAATGTGGACGATAAATTGACAATTCTCATGTCTAATAGTCCCTTTTGATTTCATATTGAATTGAATCGAACAGTTCATTCAGGGTCATTGACTATTGCCCGTTTCCACGTGTAAATTAATTTTGTATGGTAATATAATTTATTCTTTATTTTTTCTAATTTTTAAAGCTAAAGAACAAAAGAAAAAATTAATTAAAGTTAATCTGCATTGATAAAATACATATATATATATATAAATAAGATAATATCTCAACAAGAATATAATATAATACAATAATCATTTTTATATTTAATTATTAAATCGATTTAAGACGATCTTAAGTACAAAACTGTGAGTATCACTTTTAATACAATAATTGCTTCATAGTGCTTTTATTATTAAAATTAAATTAATATGTCCATTTTTATTAATGTGTA